TTTTGCAAACTTCACTTTAACAAACGTTAATTACTGTTGGACTTGTCGGCCAGAGAGCGTCACCTAAAATCTCTCTTTTCTGAGGGCTTAAAAAAATGAGACTTCTCTCCAGTTTACCTCTCTCCACTATCTCTCCACTTTAATAGAATTTATTTTATATACTCACAAAGGTATTACCAAAAAGCACAAGATCACAACTTATGCTCCCTCCTCTTTATGCTTTGTAATTATCCCGACACATTGCTGACACCAAAAAGGAAAGGTCTGTTTTCTTTTCAACCACACACACACACACACACACACACACAAACACACACACACACACAGAGGTTCAGACACAATTACACAATTACACTTAAACACACAAACCAGCTGTGCCGATGATTAACCCAGATGTGGTCTCACCTTTCTGAGTTCTGAACCTGAACTAGAGGTGATGCAGCAAAGTGAAACCAAATGGTGCCGAACAGAACAAACTAAGGCCAGCTGGCAACAATACGATCCAACATGATGTCTGCACATACACGTATGTCTAACATGCTAAAACAGATTTACTTATTTATTCTCCTCTTGCTTATTAAATGGGAACGTTTATGACATTTATCTACAGTTTGTTTTCAGTGAAACTTATATACTTAATATAATTATTATTATTAACATTGAACCATGAACACTTATCATAAGCTGAAATTAAAACTAAATGTTTACGTAACACTTTCTATTTCAGTGTCCAGAGGAGTCTGACATCTGGTTGTTAAAGGAAGGCTCGCCATTCATCTGTGACAACATGTGAGCCTCTTCTTACATGATGTTGGTCGGCAACAGGTCTTCTCTTGAGCGATCTCTCACCACCCTGACAAGGAGTTTTCTTGGTGTAATTATGTTGTGTTTTTGTGCTAAACTGCAAATTGTTCTAAATTCATACAGATTGTTCAGAAAGTGAAGAAACATAAATAAAAGTTGTTTTCCTGCGCAAAATGTGTGTCACTTTACTTAAAGCAAACAATTACATGTTATAAGGTCTTATAATTAGTTCATATGGTATTATGTCCACCTGTAATATATTATACAGGGATGGACATTTTAACACTTTACTTAAAGCAAACAAAGACACACTATATAACATTAAACATTACTATAAGCTATTATTCCATTTTATATCACTAATTCTAAATGGTGACTAAAGTGTATTCATAACGAGGCAGAGTCGGTGGTTATAATGTGTGATGGAACGTGGTCGGAGATTCTTGCCGCACATTGATATAAACTGGTATTAATATTAGTTATAAAAATTAAATCAAAAGGTCATAATACATTATGAACTTTGCTATAGCGCCTAATGCATGTTTGTAAGTGATTACAACAACTATTATAATGTCTTATGGACGCATTATATCGTGTTATAAATATATGCATAAGTCATTATAAATATCTTTTTTATTCATGTGTTGGTTAAACTTTTTATGACGCCCATGTCTTTAATGCTTTATAAACATACTTTTAATTAATAATACTGTGCTTATAGTAATGTATGCTTATAGTTATAAGCATAAATAGTCATATTTCTTACAATAACAATTATCATAACATTTTATAAGCATTTTGACTTTTAAGGTCAAGTATTTTTGCTGGTTACTTATTGACATTCCTTTTGGCAAAGATTAGAGGGAACTATAATTATCACTTTGATTATAATGGGTTTTAAAATAGTTATAATGAATTTACAGCTATGATAATTGCGCTGAAGTGTGAGAATTGGTACCAGTGTTTTCATTCAACGCTGCAACTGGTGTGTCTCTGAATAGCTGCCTCTGTGATTATAAAATAAAACGCGTCTCTACTCTGTTGTGGTTCAGTATATCAGCGTAGACACTTTACAACTTACAATGAATTCAGGCTAACTGTTATTTTTGCCCTGCTAAGCATCATTTAAAACCTCTGCTTCCATCTTCAGTTAAATGTCTATATTATTAACAAGCATAAACACACATTTACAATGAGGAGAACAAACTGCATGTCACAAAATCCCACACTAAAACAAGCATATAAAGCAAATGCAGTTTCAGTGGATTATAATGGTACCCAATTTATTGCAAGAGATAAGTATCAATGTGCTTTATTACTATAATTTCCTTAAATCCCTCTCATAAAATATAAAGGGAGTGAAGCCTGAACTCCAGATATGATCCTCATTCAGGAGGTACTGTATATTTAAGTTGACTGTACTCTCTCTGTGGGTTACTCATCATTAGCCTACAGACACTCTCTGTTAAACTGCATACATTATCATAGCAGTATAAACACTTTCTGTAGTGTAAATATATCCCTTGGCTTGCACTGCAGGTGCCAGAAAGAGATTAAAGCATATGAACTGTATGAAATCTGAACTATAAAACTACAGCCATTAAAACTCCTCAGTGTGTATAAGACTTGGTTGAATTACATGGGATTTGGAAGACAATTTAGATGTCAGTCTAACAAGTTCTGCAACAAATTCCACCATCTTCTTACAATTTGTTTTTAAACTAAGACAAGTTCTACAAAGCCTGGACTGTTTCAATTTGTCATTTTAGCACAAGTCACCGGTGAAAACACATATTACATGTTTCAAGATTATCCAGAGAATGCATTTAAGTTGGTTTAATTGTGTGAAGAGCATGCTAGAAAAAGTCTGGACAGATTTACGTCAAATTTATGAATTTGACATCTGCCTTCAGCTAAAAACATGTTACATGTCTAGGGGAGGAGGTGTCCTGCATGAGCATGTTAAGATGTGTTTGCACGCAAGCAGATATGTGAAAGTATACACACGTGTTCTTACAGTAACTATTGGGGCCCCCCAAGATATTACAATCACCCATCAAACACATGTTCCTCTACATCTGTCTGCTCCAAACCAAGCCACAAATACTGACAGACACACAGAGGGCATGAGGTTATGATGAAGTCCAACAGATTTCTGCTTTACTTCAAACACACACCTGACAGAGTGTCTGCAGCTGAAATCTGCTCTGGTCAGTGTCCACAAGATACAGACTCAAACACAGATTTGACTTTTGTAAAATGATTACAATCTCTGCCTATAATGTAACAGTAGATCCCAAGTCTCTGACTTCAGCTCACTTGGCCATTCAGTTCAGAAAAGTTACAAAAATTGTTGGATGCTGACATGAATAAGAACCAGAGTTTATAATAACAACGGGTTATTTCATTGTTTTTATATTGGTGGGGTGGTAATGGTGCAGTGGATAAGACACATACCTCTGGTGTGGAAGACCAGGGTTCAATTCCCACTGCAACATCCACCAACGTGTCCCTGAGCAAGACACTTAACCTATAGTTGCTCCAGAGGTGTGCGACCTCTGACATATATAAGAATTGATATAAGAATTGTAAGTTGCTTTGGATAAAAGCGTCAGCTAAATGATAAATTAATATATCATGAACCCAGACTGACCAACCACTGATTTAGAGTGGAATCACGAAACAGAGCCAGCTGTCTCTCTTTATGTACTGTCAGTCAAATCACAGCTTTGATGAAGTATCTTCTGCAGAATGTTGGGGTCACAGTGCAAACGCCTCCCAGCAGCAGTAAATTTCGCTTCCACTGTACATCAAACTATCTGACAATCCCACCACCCCTCCGCCCATCTCCCTCTAAAATCCCCCATCTCCTCCCAAATCACTCATGTGCAACAGTACGGAAAGAGCTACATCACCGGCCTCACAAGAGACTGTTTCCCGACTGTTAACAAGTCTGTACAAGTGTGTGTGTGTGTGTGTGTGTGTATATAAAACGGATGGAACATATAACATATAATCTATGTGTGCGTGTGTGTGTACATGCACATAGAACAAGACAAACAGACAGACAAATATTTATAGGTGGATTTATAGCTTATATATGACTGTTCATGCTAAAGTGTGTGTCTATATGACTCATGGCAGATTTGACAGTAATGAAGGCTTATTGGAAAATCCTACACAGCCTGCAGGAAGCTACACACACACAAATGAAATTCAAACACACCTACCTGCATGTGCTCCTGCAATTGACTTATACACTGTACACAAGTTACACACACATTCACCCATATTATTAAATTAATCACATACTGCCCACTTCCACCTCTCATGAGAGATTGGAAACTGGAAATTCACACAGACCCACACGCACACAAACTCTACAAGTTCCTTCTTGTTATTTGGCTCCAACAATAGAAACTAAATAAAGGACAGAAAGTTTATTCGTATGTATGTTGTAATCAGAAAATACGTCTTTCTCTCCATCTTCATCCTCTCCACCTCCAGCTGTTACATTTGCAAAAAACTAAACAAACACACTGAGAAAAACAACAATTGAACTGTCACATCCTGTCCTACTTCATTTGGTTTTCTGCCTGAGACTTGACACCAACGGCATGAACTTGACTTGAAAAAGTTACTTGGAAGATGTTGCAGATTAGTGCTTGAAAGTATTTTTTCATTTCATGCATTCAAATGTTTTCCTGCTTAAAAACTCAGGTTTTCTCTCTCATCTCTTACTTTTTTTTGTCTCAGTAGGTTCATGTGTTGTAACAAGTATCTTATTTGTTTTACAGGTTTGTGTACAGGTATTATCATGTCCTGATGAGACCCGACAGCTCTGGCACAGAATGAAACCACAGCCAAGAATAATTGAGACCCTTTTGTTTCAGATCAGAGCTTTATGAATTCTGCAATGTGATTTTTGCCGTGTGTTTCAACTTGTGTGACACGTATATGTGTGTTGGAGCAGGTAGATGTGTCTGAGTCACCATAATAGCATTTCTATAACCTGTGGTGTGGTGGATTTCCTTTCATCTTTGTTCAGTCGAGGACACAAACACACACAAATGCTACAAAATCCAGTCATAACAATGTGGCTGTGAGTCACGGAGGTGCAGTCTGATTCCCTGATTGTGTGTGAGTGTGTGATATTCATTGATCTTTCGAAGGGTGGGTACAACTTTGTGTCTTACTTGTAGGGGTCGTTGGGGTCCTCTGCGTTGCAGGCCTCAGCGTGTCCGTTACACACACAGCGTCCTCCAATACTGATGTCTTTGATACTGTAGTAATACTATAAAATAAAAACAATACACAGCATGAGTTATTTTCATCAATATGTAGTCATATTTAATGTTTAGTTAAAGGAATAGTTATAAATTTTGGTGAAATATGCTTATTCGCTTTCTTGCCCATAGTTAGATGAAAACACTGACAGCTCAGTGCAAAGGTAACATGATATCCGCCTACCAACACCTCTAAAGCTCACTAATTTACACGTTACATCTTGTTTGTAAAATACTGGTAGGCAGATTAAAGGGTGGTATAAATCCTCTTATTTAACGCTCAACAGGAATGTAAATAACCCATATGTCACAAAATGTTGAACCATTTTAAAGACGTTTATTTATATAGACAGATTTATGTTTACTCTGGGGACAGAAAGCGGACCTGCCCCAGACGACCTGAGAGGTCTGGATGGTTCATAACGTTGCAGAAGAACAGAAATGTATTTCGGCCCAAAACCATTCAGTGCTTTATAAACCAACAGCAGTACTTTGAAATCAATTCTGTGACAGACAGGAAGCAAGTGTAAAGAACTCAGAACTAGAGTGATGAGATCCACTTTTTTGGTCTCAGAGAGGACTTGAGCAGCAGTGTTCTGATTCAGCTGCAGCTGTCTGATTGATTTTTTAGGGAGACCTGTTTTTCTTTGTGCAAGTGGTGTCACAGTATTCTACTGATTCCACTACAGCAGGCGTCAATGAGCCAAGATTTGCAGGAACACTTTGGCAAAGGCAGAAAAAAACACTGATTGCTAGTGAACATGGATGTAAACAACGCTGGATTCAAACTTTGAAGCTTTGCAAAGGTTTTATGAGGAAGAAACGGGATCAATCATATTACTGAGACCTCAAGGACACACAAAATGCATTTTGGTGAGTTACTCTCAATATAAATACGACCTGTTTGTTCACAAGAGCATACATTTATTAAATATATTTTGGAAAGATTAGACACATTTTTTAAGTTAGCAGACTGATCTCTTTAACTCTAGACCCACCAAGGGACCATCTAATGTGCATTTTGGAAAATGCTTATTGGTTATTGTTGCCGGGGGTTAGTTGAGAAGATTGATACCATTCTTATGTCACTGGATTAAGTATGGAAACGTTAAGTCAAGTCATGTTTAATCTGTACACAAACAAATATGTAAAAATAACAATTTGTGGTTTTAGAGGGAGTTCCAAACTCAGCGAGAAAGTAAATAAAAGTATTTCCAAAAAAAGGCCGAACCATTCCTTTTATATTCTAGTGAAAGTTATAATGTTGCAAAAACATTGCCAAATATATAAGAATTTGAGACACAAAGACAGGTGCATATTTTTCATCCTGCAGCCATAAAACTTATTTTCCTTAATTAAAACCTCATACAGCTTCAATCAAGTTAAGTTAAAGCATATACAGAATATTCAGAACATTCATATATGTATATAGATGTGTGATTGTGTGTATAAAATGGTTTTGGACTTTAAAGCTATTTAAAGGAAAGGTTTCGGGAATGCAAAACTTTTCAAATACACTAATCCATTGCCTACAAGATGATCACTTTGTTGCATTGTCTTACCCTGCGGGTGACAGTGGGGTCACGGAGCGCTTTGCCCATCAGGTGTCCCAGCAGCGTGTTGGTTCTCAGGAAGCGAAGCCTGATGTGGGTGGCCTTGGTGAACTCCCTCAGCACTGGTGAGTAGGAGAAGTTCATCGCCCCGGGCCGACCGTTCACCAAGGACACCACGACCTGGGAGAGGTGGGGAGGAGGACAACAGCATTATCAGCTAACTAACAAGTGTTAGGAATAGATACATAACAGCCTGGGAAAGTCCTGCAAACATAAGATAAAGAAAAGCAGCAAATCCGTACATTTGCTACATACGCTTTAAACATTTTGTTGTAATTGTTAAGTTTTGCAAAAGTTATTGTTGTATAATTTTACTGTCGACTGAATAATTGTTTGAGCTCTACAGTTATGGACATTAAATCAATATATTTTATCCGCAAACACTCACCTCTCCATTTTCCAGCGGGACTATACGTGAGTATTCGGTAGTGCAAATGACGTCGTCATCATTGTTGATCCTCTCAATGGTCCTCTGTCCAAAACGCTCAATACAATCTCTCTTGGAGGCTAGAGACACGCGCACACACAAACAAAAGAAAAGCTTGTAATCAGTTTTTAGCAAACATGTGAACATCGCCTCATGTTAAACCTGAAGAATGTCAACCATCTTGTGGCATTTTAATGATGCGTCTCAGTGTGATAATTAGAAGAGGGTCTTGGTTTGGTGGTGGTTTTTGGTTTACCCAGCAGTCCTCCTGAAATATACCTCAGCTGCATTTTCAGCTTCACAACAGGTGGAATGAAAATCATCAACACACACTGACTACACTAAGCCTGTATAACTTGAACTTTTTAAGCATAACCTAATGGTCAAGCAAACTCTGATCTAAATCCAAACCTTTTATTAATCATTGAATCACTGAGGCTATTAAAATGTCACAATGTAATCACAAATTACCCCAAAAATGACACATTTACAGGGAGATGGGGGTGCTGTTTGAAAATTATTAGGAGAGAGGTGGTTTCATAAAAGTATTTTTTGTCTTTAGTGGATCAAGTTCTCTCCACACAGCGTATCATTTGTCACTTTTCCTACAGCAGCTCCCACCATAAATTTATCATGCATCTTAACAGAAAGCAGCTGAAATATTGTAGGTAGATTGTTGCAAAGAAAATATTAACACTGGGGAGGGCTTTTGTTTTTTTAAAGGGTAAACATAACTCTCTCACCTGTATACTTTTGGTACAATCCCTAAAATCTGTGGATATTTAGCATTTATTATAAATAAAGATGAGTTGAGGATGATTCACTATTGTATGGCATTATTGGTGAAACCAATTAACCAGCATAAGTAAGTCAATGAAACTGTAGAACAGATCAAGGCAGACTAAGAGAGATCCTCCATATGTGGGGCAGTTTTGAGGTCAGTCATCATTTAACTTCACCTTATTTCAGTTCACCTCATTGTATAAACGTTGGTTGGTCATTCAGAGAAACCACCATCTGCCTTTAAGGAATAATCAAACTTTGAAAGTGTGTTTGACAGTTTGAAACAAGACTTCAGCTTGTTTAAGTCACATTGTTTCTTCATGAGGACACAGCGTACATTCCTGGAATAGCTTCACTTTATCTCAGATTTTGTCCTTGACAAAGAAGAAGATGGAAAAGACCACGAAAACAAGAGAAAGACGAGGAGGAGAGGGTGAATTTACATTTTATAATGTCAAGATGTGTGTGTGTGTGTGTGTGTGTACAGCTAACAGCTGCAGCAGTTCAAACTAAAACTGTCAAATACCTCTAGGATTTACAGCTTTGAGGCCAACACTAATTTACTCTGTACTATTTAGCTCACACACACACACACACACACACACACACGTATCTCCTATCCTCCGTCTGACTGTAAAACACTGTTGATTGACACGTGTTTCATACTGAAGGAGAGATAAGCTGCCTTTGTAAAATGCTGTCATTATGTGATTCTATAAAGTGTATCAACTTTTTTCCAAACTGCTCAAGAGCAGACTGCTATTTACATTTATTCATTTAGGCGCAAAGCAATTTACAATTGCTATACATGTTAGAGGTCATCTAGGGGTTAAGTGTCTTGCTCAGGGACACAGTGGTGTCTCACCGTGGGGAATTGACCCTGGGTCTCTCCCACCAAAGCCATGCGTCTTATCCACTGCCCCACCACCGCCCTAAAATACTTATTTGGATATTCCCAGCATTTATCTAATTTAACAAAGTTGTTTTTCTTATTAAACTGAATATTCAGGGATAAAAGGTAAAGGAACAGTTTGTCAGCACACAGAAAGTGATCCCAAGTTGAGCTGACAGTCGGCTCACTCTGCCCTGTTCTGGCACCAGAGCACCATTGATAAACTGTCTCTGGCTCATTTAACTTGACTTAATGTGCTTTGATTTCGGGGGTTCAAACTTGAGCTGATAATTAGTTCCAGTTAGCAGCATTCAGGTCAGCTGTCAAGGGCCATTGTCAGTCCATGGCTCATCATTTGTCACAGTCCAGGAACAGCCGGGCCAGATTAAGGAAGCTTCTGTTCAGAGAACGCTGTTTTTTTCACAACAATGGCAGAACATGTTGGCCACCAGAACCCCCAGCACACTTTTAAGTAAGCGTTAGGCAATTTAATAAAAGTAAAATCTGATGTGTCATCACTGGAATTTGTTCACCACAGTGCACAGAAATTAAAATATTCCTTGCAGAATCATCTACTAAAAATCACATCTGAAACCAGTGAATCTTGTGATTGGTTTCAGGCTGCAGACTTTTGCTTTACTTTGTCTGACTTTATCTTTAATTTTCAAAAAGAAAGGATTTAAAAATCCAGACCTTTCAGGCTCCTTGATTTGGTTTGAACATATTTAAATAGTCCCTGTGAATATACTGGTATAGCATGCCTGCAGTAATGGATTCACCAGGCTGTGGTGTACTGTGACGTCTAATGAATTCACCTCAAGAGACACCTGGAGCAGCTTTCAATAATGCTAATTAATACATGGTCATTATCTGTTCTCTCTCTCACACACACACACAAAGGGGGTGTGGGTCTGCCTCATCTGTCTGCTCTCTTTTACTCGGTGAACATCAAGCTGCAACCTGTTGGCAGAAATGCCTGGAATTCCCCTGCAGCCCACCTGGACTGACAGCTGCCATAGCCAATCAGCTGGCAGCTTCATGATGTGATGACCCCCTCCCCCCCAGACCTGACCAACAAACTAACCAACCAATCATTTGCCTGCCCCCAGGGATGCAGTTTAACTCTGAGATTAGAGGGAGAATTAAGCTGAACCCTGGGGGAGGTCAGGAAAGCATGAAGTGATGCTGATGGAATCCGACTGGGTTTGCTCCTTATAACATCTGGAGTTACACATACTGTATGTATGCATTGTATAGGTGAATATACATGTGTATGTGTGTCTCTACTCACAGGCAAAGAACTGCCAGGGTTGGTAGTCTGCCCAAAGTCGATAGATCTCTCCAGTACCCAAAGGTCAGGACGGGGAGAGTTGCGAACTTAATCAACACGTAGGCGACGTGGAAGAGCTGCAGAGACACAGAGAAGAAATTCACATTATTCACAAATTCAAACATAGTTAACTTTATTTGTTTCTGAAAGGAAAAACAGGAAATTGATGGGGTGAAAAGAGAAAAGGAGAATACAAGACAAGCTAATCAAAGACACTATTCAATTGTGGTGAAAAAGAAAAAGCAAGCTGTCCCACCGACCGTGGCTGTGACCTGAACAGCTGACCTGGGAAACATCTCCCCTTTTAATAGACATTGCGTCAAAATCAGCTCCAGCACGTCTGAACTATTATGTCGTGTTACGCGCTATGTTACGAGTTATTACGAAAAAGCTGATTCCTGTCACTAATGAGCACCAGATGCTCCTCTATCGCATGCTCAGTTGGGATCTCTGGGTAACTTGTCATCCTTCATTCATTTCCTGAAAAGGCCCTGAAGCTGGTTAGAAGGCGATGACAAACTGCTCTCATGGCAAAAAGCTGGACTGTTTTGTCTGTCAGACCTTGAAATCGCTCCCCAGTTGAAACAGAACACACTGAATAACACAATGGACCACATAATAACATTATCACTAATCACAACACCTCATCTGTGTGCTAAGAGGCAGTGTTGAGAGCTCCTCTCTGAGTGCACCATATGATGATTTAAAGTTTATTTAAATAAAAGCGCATGATGCCAAAATATTTATTGATCCCATGATACCTTATAATAACTACTCATTCATGAAGGCATGTTTCACTATAGAGCAAGTGAAGAGGGAGGACTATCTGGAAAGAAACATTTCTACATGCAAAGCGTTTTCTAACAACTTGGTCAATTAAAAAATGAGGGTAAAATGATTAGAAACATTTTTCTAACATTTTAAAGATTAAGATTTAAGACCTTGATGTGAAACCTCCCTGGTTCGAGTTGGCAGGGATTTTTGTTGCATATTTTTGCTCCCCATCTCTTTCACCCCTGCTTTTCCCCCATTATTTCACTACTGTTAAATAGGGCTTGGAGAAACAATAATTATTGCAATGTATTTTCCTCTATTGAAATATAACAAATGTTCAATAAATGTTCGATAAAATTTATTTTAATCATGAGCAAATCAGCAGTTACTTTTCTATTAAGATATTTATTTATTGAGTAAAAGGACTGGCGATTTTACTAATTTTACTCATGCATACTTTGAAAAATAATTTAAACATTATAACTGTTTTGAAAATTCTACCTCAAATTTGTAAAATGAGAATAGTTTCAAACCACAATTAACTGTCAGGTTTCTTCAACTTTCACTCATGATTGACATTTATCAGGACAATTATTGATATCAACTGATATAAATTTTTATCGTGATAACATTTTTGACCATATGACCCAGCCCTACTTAAATCTCATAAAACTACTTGCAAAAAACAATATGGTACAGATGTAGATTTTCCAGCATCCAGCTAACCTGCAGTAGGTTAGGAAACATTTCATACTCAACATGACGGCTCTAAGGACATTTGATGACACCATATGACCCAAAGGGAGGAAGCAAAGACATGAGAGACATTTCACATTAATTTTGACAACGCTTTACACCACATGGGGATTTGTTGATTTGGGGATTGGCGGGGGAGGGGTTGCCTTTTAATTTGATAGTTGACAGCTGTAGAGATAGACAGGAAATGGCGCGGAGTGGGGGCTATGACATGCAACAAATGTCTCGGCTGAAACTGAACCGAGGACATGTATTATGGTATGCAGCTTTTTAACTTTTTTGTGCAGGCAATTTTTTGTCAGTATGTTGCATCACAAATACCAAAGGAACACTTTTATGTCTTCAAAGTGTTTTCAGGAAACTTCTTGAGAGATTTCAGGCAAGTGGTACATTTCTGTTTATTAAAACTGTCCCTGTATTTACTGTGTTGTTCTCCTTTCAAGGACACACAGTTTGAAGACGAGTTTCTGGGTTTTGCATAGACAGGTGAATTTTCAGTCGCTGCATACATCCACATGCTCATAACTTGAGTGTCAGTGCAAAAACAGGACCAAGTTTGGGCAGATGACAACTTTGACAAAAAGTAGGTTATCATTTGAACTCAAATCAAAACCAGCCAGCTGGTCTTTCTGTCGATGTTACAAGTTCAACATTTGCTGGCCTTTGTCTCACCATCAGAGCATGACACACACACTCTTTGATCATCCATCAGTGGAGTTCAGCCTGTGATCTCCAGACTTCCTCCTCTGACAGGCAGCTCTGTCAGAGGTGATGACAACACACACAGCACCAATCACATTCACACACTTATACACACATTAAGACAGAAATGCCAGAAGTGTGTGTTTTCAGGCTGATGAATGACAGGAGGATAGAGGATGGAGGACCTGAGGGACATGCCCAACCATTCACACTGTGAAAACAGAGGAAATTGTTTCTATTGATGGGTCTCAGTCTAACCCTATATATACCTGTGTGTATTAGCATATTTGTGTGTGAACGTGTGTGTGTCTTAAAGAGATCTAAAGAACAGGAAACAGGAAGTGAGGCCTCTACACGTCCCTCAGGGGCCAAAGATATTGAAAGTAAAATCCAGAAGCATTCCTCCCTTTAAACCAAATGTTTCTAACTGAAAACACACGACTGAACAGCAGAGAAATCAGGTGATGTGCTCTGAACTTCAGCACTGATTCAGAGCTGCATGGCATTTAGCAGTGACTGAAGGGAACCGTTATCACTTCGAGACAGAAAAACGTAAGCCAACAGAGCAAAATCTGAAGATTCTGTGACAGCAGTATAACGCTGAATGAAAAATCACCTCCAACATCGTTATTTCTTCATATAGCCTTTGGTTTAAAAGGCAACTATCCACTTTGCCTACATTTGCACTTGCAGGTCCTGTTACTAA